CGTGCTATGTAGAGACACATAGAGTGTGTTGTTGTCATCGTACCGCTGCGTGCAAAACTCGCGGGCCACCTTGGTAACATATGCAAGGATGTCCCCCACCGCAGCTTTGTCATCCGTCGACGAAGTTGGTGGTGCTGAGAAGGATAAGTACATGTGAAGATGAGCGCATAGTGCTGCGCATTGCGGTCCGGGCAAGCGGCCTGTGGTCGGGAGAGGAAGCCATGCGAAATCCTCAGACGTGAGCGGGCGGGTCCAATACCTCTATGTTGAACTCGTGCGTCGAATCCCGTGAAGAACCACGTGAAGACCATAAGTCGCCGCTTCCGGACGGAGAAGATACATACATCTTGTCCTTGAGCATGAGTGCCCAGCGAAGGTACGAGCCGAGCAGCATAGTCCTTATAAGAATATAAGATTGGAGGACTATTGACTTTCGCATGTGCCTCGGAACTAAGGGCGGTCGTGCGCGCAGCAACCGGTTCCGAAGGCGTCGAGATTGTCATTGCCTCACTCATGGCGGTGCTCCCTTTCCCAACTGTTTGCCCTCGGCTTTCGAAGGACAGTCGATTTTGCGGTGGAGATCGCTACTACACCTCAAAAAGTATCGGAATCTCGTGCGTATCTTGTATACGTGTTTCGAGAGACCATAGTGGGTCCATGGGGCTTGAGCTGCTGCACTGGGCTCGGGGTTTGACATGGTGTTGGTCTTTGATCTGCCGCGTCCTTCGCCTTTGCCGGGGCGGCCACCATCCGGGGCAGCTGCGAGTCTGTCCCCTTCGTTGGCAGATGTGGCCTCTCTCGAAGCGTCGGTCGGCGTTGTCGCTGCGAGCACGGCCATTTTTGGCCGATGCTGTTCTCTGCTGGGCCTGCCGCAGGCGAACGGCCAAGATTCTTGGTCTCCGTGTTCGTGACAATAATCTGCGCGGCGTTGTCGAAGGGCTCCGTAGTTGTAGTGAGAGTCTACGCGACTTGTGTCAAAGCATTTGACCGTGACGGGCACGACCTCGAGATGTAGTGTTTGACGACCATGAAGCCCATGGGTACTCCCGGCGTGGACGCCAAGCGTTGGTACTCAGCAATCCAATCTCCGCTCGGCAACGTGTTCTGGTGGAACGCCATCAATTTGTCCATTGCTTGAAGTTCGGGCGGCTCCACTTGGAACCGCTTGTGCCACGCTGCCTTCCTCTCGATTGGGGGGCGCGTGCCAAGCTTGGCTGGACAATATGTTGTCCACGCATGGGGTGGTCGTCTCCGAACTGCATACCAAGATCATTTGGGCTGATCTGAAGGCAGCGTGGCACGCCCAAATGATCTTGGTATGCAGTTCGGAGACGACCACCCCATGCGTGGACAACATATTGTCCAGCCAAGCTTGGCACGCGCCCCCCGATCGAGAGTACAGATATGCCTGTTGTTTGGCTTCGCTGGTGTGGTGGATCTCTAGCTTGAGCCCAAACTGGCGGAACCATGGAATTGGGTCTGTCTTCGTGGCGTCGCAGAAGATCGGTTGGCCATCGAACTTCGGAATGATCTCCCACGGCGACATGCTAGGGCCAGCGGCTGCAGCGCAGATCTGCTGCTCAATTTCTTGAGTGGCTGCTTGCTGTAGCCGTGCACCGTCCTTGAGCGTTCCGACGCCGATCTCCAGGGCATCAAGGCCATCGGCAGTGTTGGAGGAGCTGGCGCTGGTGGCGGCGACGGGTCGTTGCTCCAGCTGCTGTAGGCGGCTGTTGACTTTCTTGACCTCGTCGCCGAGGCAGTGGATATCCTCCTGTTGCGCAATGCATGTCGCCAGGAGGTCCGTGAGGTGGGAGAGCAACAGCAAAATCTTGAGTCCGCTGTCGCTGAGTTCACCACTCTCTGCCTTGGCCTGCCATTCTGCTGCCATAACGAGTAAAGCTCGCTCCTCTCCGAATACGTTCTCGCTTCGAATGTTGGGTTCCTCATGGGCAGCCTTTGCTGCTGTCTCGTCGTGCTGACGCCAGCAGACGTGCTTTCTCTGCGTCCTCTGCCTTCTTCTCTCTGCGGGTGCCACCGCGTCTGACCGTTGCTTTATTTCGGTTATCAAAGTCAGCATCTGGGCCTGATAGGCCACGGCTGATTCCCCTGCCTTCTGGTCCATGACGGCTGTCTGAGAACGCATGCTCACAGTCATGGGCCGGGCCGAGGGACTACTGACGTGACACTCTTCTGCTGATGTGGCGCTGTTCGGCTGCTAATGTGGCACGACTATCGGCTGCCGTGTCGTTGGATGTAGCCTGCTGACGTGGCAACTTACCAATGCCACAGTAGGGAGTACCCGTCGACAGATGGCGAAGGGAGGATGCAACAGAATAGGTGGGGTTGGGTGGGAGCGATCGCCCAGATAAGGAGCCACCAATCAAAAAAAAAAATCGAGAAAATAATAATTAAATACTCGAAATTTGCAAGTTCAATAGGTCCCCCTGAAATCCGAAATAACCAATAATAATAATAAAATTTTCGAATTTCAGACTGCAAATGGTTAATAATAATAATAATAAATTTTAATGGAACTGCAAACTATTTTCCCAAGTTCAAAGAGTTCCGAAAAATAAAACGTTTGGAATTAATTCGGGTGAGAGTATGCACAGCAAAAAATTTGACTGCAATGAGAGATTTTCTGGAAGAGAGAGAAAAAAAAAAAAGGAATCTCGGGGTAACAGGTAATAACGAATTCCGAAATTTTCCGTTACCAAATGCGTGAATAACTAAATTCAAAGCCAAAAGACTCCAAAACAAAATTCGGAATAAATGACTGATAATTCAGAATTTCCGAAACAATAATCCGGAAATGAATGAATAAATTCGAATTATTCCGAAAAAGTTACTTCGGATTATCAACAACGAAATTTCAAATTTCAAGAAAGAATAAAAATCGGAATTTCCAGCTGTTGCGCTATTTCGGAATTTGCATTTTGCCAACACACAAAATTTGCGCAAAAAGAAAGTCCAAAAAAAGTAAAAAAAAGTCGATTTTGGCAGTAAGGTCAAAATTCGCAATTTGGGGACTAATTAGTGTGACCTAATCAATCAATCAATCAATCACTTGTCAATCACTGATAAAAGGGCCTTTACCCGATATAGGCCTCAGGCCTTGTAAAAGAAAAGCAGCACGGGCCTTGAAAAAGTAAAGCATTGTGAAAAGGTATCTCGCCAGGGCTCAGAAACGTGAAAGCAGGTCAAAGGTCAAGTTCTCTATCAACAGGCACATCTAAATCTAAGGCAAAGGGCATTGACAAAGGACTTACCTGTTCACCAGGAGCTGTGTATGTCATGTTTGTTCGGGTGAGGGTGTGTCTGTACGTGCAGGCAGTGTACCTGTTCGTGCAATGGAAAGTACCTGTTCAAGTAGTAAATGTGTCTGTTCGTTTAGAGTTGTGCCTGTCCGAAAGTGAAGTCAGTAGGCACAGTCCCAGTTCTGGTCTAAGTCAAGGGGTCAGTCCAGATCCAGACTTTCAAGTCCAAATCCAGGCCGAAGTGCCTCAGCAGCAGTTGAACCTCATTGGGACTATACTGGGACACATGCAATGCAGGGTCCGGGACAAAGGGAGAGGCTGAATTGAGCCAATGCAGACCCAGCGAGGAGTGGCCAGCATTATAAAAAGAGCTGCCTGCCTCATTCCTCGCCAGATCTCCACTGGCTGCAATGCGTGGAAGTGCTGGTGCACTTGTGCGCTGAGTCAGGAGGAGCAGCGCTGGAGGAGAAGACGCGCTGGAGGGAGGAAGATGCCTGTACGCTGGAAGTGATGCAGCCATAGCTGCCCAGCGAGTTAGCATTAGTAGTAGAGGGTTAGTATGTAGCTATGAGTAGTATCCAGAGTAGATCCTCATGAGTATTGACGAGTGTGTATGCATCATAGGAGGAAGGGATTGAGGCTGAGAGTGTTCGTTCAAGGTTGGCTATGGAAGATACTTACCTGAGTTGGATGTGACCTGCAGAGGTGGCGCTGATGAGTGGTGACCACATTGATGACTTGGAGACTATCTGCAGGGGTAACACTGATTCACTGGAAGGCATATTGATGAGTTGGCAAGATATTGGTGTTGCGCTGATGAGCGCTGGACTCAGGGGAACTTTGAAACACTTTGTATTCATATTTCTGATAATATAAACTGTGAAACTCGGTCCTCATCTTCTCTATCTTTGTCTATTGTCAGACTACTGTTCATTGTGTGTGGGAGTAAGATGCATGGCATGTACACACTTGCGTGGGATGGTCCCCAGGACCCATGCACTGATCAATCAATCAATCACTTGTCAATCACTGATCAATCAATCAATCAGTCACTGATCAATCAATCAATCGATCAATCAATCAATCAATCACCCAATTGGCCCTGTACACGTGTCAGATCAGGTTGTCCTGATTCACGTGCGGGGCTCCAATATCAACTGACACATGCTCAGTTGGGCAATGTGTATGGAGCCAAGGATCTGAAATGTGATGAAAAGGACTGAATAGACAATGGAATGTCAGCGAAACATCAACAAGCAATGTTTATCCCGATACATACAAAATGGCACAAAGTAGCGCAGTGGAAGACTCTAAGATAAGTCCTGACCTGACTGGGACTGACAACATCCCATCATACATCATGCATGTGAGAGAGGAGGAAGGACCCGCATACATAGAAGAACGGTCCCTCCTTGACCACACACATTGGGGAGATAAAACGGATGAGAAATGGGGGGAGAGGCAAGACGAAGGAGAGGGCGAGGGAGAAGACCAAGATCGCGATAGCAAAGTCCGAAAATAGTCCCTTGCCGAATGTCCAATCAATGTCTGCCTCAAAAATATCGGATCAGATCCCAGGCGCTATGCCCGTTGTAACCTCTGCCTGTATCCTCTGCCTGTAATCTCTCTCTCTCTTTATCTGAAGAAGAAGAAGAAAAAGAAGGGGGAGGAGGAAGGAGGGAGACTAGAGGGAGACTGAAGAAGAAGGAGAAAATGTCGTCTTCCTCGCTGTCTCACCTGCAGGTGGGCGCGGCCGTACTCGTCGTGTGCAGGTGGCGTGCGCGGGGAGTCCCAGCTATGGCGCCAGGTAAGTCCCCCTAGTGCAGGTATGGCCCCCGCCCATCTGCCTTCCTATCCTCTACTTCCAACCTTGCAGGGCAGCACTAAACCAGCAGCATGTCGCTCAAGAAGTGAGCTACCAAACTGTCTGCCCAGGCTGTGGCGGGAGACTAGAGAGGGAGACTGAAGGAGGAGAAAATGTCATCTTCCTCGCTGTCTCACCTGCAGGTGGGCGCGGCCGTACTCATCGTGTGCAGGTGTCGTGCGCGGGGAGTCCCAGCTATGGCGCCAGGTTAGTCCCCCTACTGCAGGTATGGCCCCTGCCCGTCTGCCTTCCTATCCTCTACTTCCAACCTTGCAGGGCAGCACTAAACCAGCAGCGTGTCACTCAAGAAGTGAGCTACCAAACTGTGTCTGCCCAGGCCGTGGCCCAGCTATATGCAGCGCTGGGCCCTACTGGGTGCGCTGCAGCATGGCCTCAAACGGCCCACACGGTCGGGGCCCCTACCGGGTGCCCAGACCATGCTGCTGATGCAGCAATGCGCAAACGTGCGCCTGGTCCTCTTTCGGCCCTGCCTCTGGTGCACGCAGCCCAAGGCCGTGCCTTGCGGACTGCAAGTCCGAAATGACGTCTGAACAGAAAAATAAGACAGCAAGTAAATAAATAAACGAGTGCTGCCTCAAGTCGTGCCTGCGGCCTAAAAGGCCGCCATGGGCCTCCAGGGCACAGGGCGCGTGTCGGATGGGCACGTGGCCTCGAAGCCCCTCAGCAACCGTCGGTCCCCTCAAATGGGCCCATGTGCAGGCGCAGCATGTACAAAGGTGTGGGGCAATAATGTTTTTTTTTTGTTTTGTTTTTTTTTGGTCAGCTGATATGTGTATGCATGGGGGGTTGACGGTAGCTCCCTGGGGGTTTTAGTCCCCTGACATTTGGGTAGTTGAAGGAGGTGGAGTGTTTACAGTGGCCTATGACAGGGTTTTATGAATATGGCAGGGTGGGAAGTGGTTGTTGACGATTTTCGGACATATCTCATGAGGGTGATTGGTAGAGTGGATGTAAAGGTTTTTTATCATAGGGCAACTTTCGTGTCAATGAACCCAGTCTCGTCAACCAATCATGTTGCAGATAACAGTGTCGTGCAATGTTGTGAGATAATCAATCCAATACGTCCATCTGTTCGAAGTCATTGAAGAACATGTTTCCTCGTTACCACGTGTATGTCTCAAAGTCCACAGTATTCAGAAAAGAGAGGAGGGGAGAATAGACAGTTGGAAGGAGAAGTGTAACACAGCAATTAAGGCCCTCTTCTCCTTCAGGCTCCCCACCTCTGGCACGTCAGCAATCTGTACTCATTGCGCCACATCAGCATCTGTGCTCAATGTGCCATGTCAGCAATCTGTACTCAATGTGCCACGTCAATAATCTGCACTCAATGTGCCACGTCAGCAATCTGCACTCAAAACTCCGTACTCAATGTGCCACGCCAGCAATCTGTACTCATTGCGCCATGTCAGCAATTTGTTCTCAATGCGCCACGTCAACAATCTGTGCTCTGTGTAACACGTGGATGATGTGGAAGCAGCCCCTCACAGATCAACGATCCTCCAACAGCGAGCAGAATCCGTAGCAGCTTGACATCTGAAGAAACCAGGTACGTACGTACGAGAACTCACATCACCCACACTCTCTCTCTCCCTCTCATCATCCCCTCGCCGTCATCTATGGTCGCTGCCGTGGCAGCCCTCTCCCTCTCCTCTGTCGCATTGGTCCATGTGGGGGCTCGGATCTTCCGATTTGTCCCAGTCTCGGTCTGGACTCTAGATCGATGGCCAGGAAATCTTGTGTTGACTTGGACTTCTCGGATCTGGGCCTGGGGGTCCACGAGCTGACTGTTGACTTTTCAGTCAACTATCGGCCTGGGCCACTTCTGAGGCCTGTTTCCAAGCCTGCCCGTTCATGCTTGTCTGCAGGCCCGACCAGAGCCCAGCGGCTCAATTTAGCACACGAGTTACAGCGTAAAATGAAAATTGAAACAGGGCTGGGCCGGCAACTGGCCGGTTCAGCTTGCCCGGTTGAACCGGAGCCGGACCAGCCCCGGGGGGGTGAACCGGGAAACCGGTTTTCAAAAAATAAAGTCTAATTCTCTTTTTTTAAGGTTTTTTTTTTTTTTTTTTTGGGCGGACGCTGAGGGCCTCGCCACACCTATCCCGAAAACACGGATTTGGAGAGGAGAAGCATCGCCATACCAACTCTCCAAAATCGGTGTCAGAAAAAAATTGGAGAGTGGCCAGCACGCGGGTTTCAGGAGTGCTCGCAAACTGTTCTCCTTGCCCAGCCTGCAAAGTTGCCACTTTCGAAAGTGGTCGAGGGCACCTCCGATTCTGGCCCGAATTTCGAGAGTGTGCCGCGACGGACAACCATCTGCGGCCAGCGTTTTGTCGTGTTTGGTTCGAGAGAACTCTCGAACCGAGGCCTCGGGCCACTACTCACCACATGCACAAAAGACAAATGGTCGTCAGAAGATTCATTCTCATTTTGCACATTTGGTGAGTAGTGGAGCAAGGCCCTTGCACCGCCACACTGCACTCTCGAAAAACCTGACACTGTGGAGAGCGCCCCCTTCGAGAGCGCAGTGCGGCGATGAGGCCTCTCGAACCGTTTTGTGCGATTTCCCGAGTTCGAGAGCGCTCTCGAACATTTTCCCTTTTTGGGGATAGGTGTGGCGAGGCCCTGACTGCGCTCTTCAAGAGCTGTCGAAATCCGTAATAAAATTTTGAAGGTCCAATTATTTTTGGGGGTGCCCCAGGGGGAGGTGGGGATATTATTGGGATATTCACGGAAGTGTCACTTTCAGGGGGACGGGTCGAGTAAGCAATGTTACTTATCCGACCCCCTGTGGCCCAAGAGCTTCAATTCAGTAGCAGAGGGCACTCTGGACTGTGCCAACGGCTGTCGAAGTCCTGCAGCCTGAATGAGACGTAATAGGAGTGGATCCTTGCCAAGAGTATAGCTCGATGGCCGAAAAGTTATGGGTGCAGGTTTCAGCTCGTGCAGGCAGAGCGTTTTCTGTTTTTTTTTTTTTTCTTTTTTAATACGCTGGGTGATCAGTGTCCTCAGTCCGAAAGTATCTTGCCTGCTATTCTGTCCAGATACATGTAGTGGAGCCATGTGCATTCTAGATAGATTGACAGAAAAATATAGCTTAGGTCCATTTTTGGGCGTGCACCTCAGACAGAGCCGAAACCCAAACCCATAACTCTTTCCCCAGAGCTTAGTGATGTTGCAGAAGCATATAACCTCAGGAGAGCCACTGCTCTTGCATAGTAATCCCCTCGTGGCGGAGAATGGACGAGTATGTCATGCCAATGACAACTGGTCCGTGGTCTGTCGGACCAAATCGAAATATGGGGCCTGGTGGCCCCCCAATTTTTGAGAAAACGCGCGCGGCGGTTGTTCGCCACTGATCTGCAAAGATAAGTGGTGGAGATCCTCCGCTCGTTGTCTTCTAGAAGTGGGGCCCAAAAAGCCCCAATTTTTTTTTTTTTTGGAAGCCGTGGCCTCATGGGGGCTGGGCAGTCTTGGGGATACCTGTCGCTGCCCGGTACCCCCCCGTCCAATCTAATGCGCTGGATTCAACCGGGGGTCTGCTGGGCCGGTCGACCGGCCGGTCCGACTGGCAGTTTCCCGGGCGGGGGAGGGGTCCCCGGTCCAACCGGGGACCAGCCCTGAATTGAAATGATTTTTGACACAGAGTACGTGTCAGGCATTGTGAAGATGTGGTGTACGTTTCAGATGTAGTGATGTTTGTGTAAATGAACCGGGTTGCGTTCTTAGGCTGGGTTCATTGGAAATGGAAGAAGTGTGTAAATGGGGATTATCATAATGATTTTGCACACGGAACACGTGTCAGATTGAGAGATGGGGGTGTGCATTTCAGATGGTGTTATGTTTCAGCGAATGAATCCGGTTGGGTTTTAGGTTGGGTTCTGTGCAATTGTTGGAAGTGTGGGGGAATAATGTTTTTTTTTTTTTTTTTTTTCGATTAGTTGACATGTGTGTGTGGTTGGGGAGAGGGGGGGTTGACGGTAGCCCTGTGGTAGTCCCGCGACTTTTGGGTAGTTGAAGGAGGTGGGGTATTTTTAAGTCTTATGATGGTGTTTTATGAATATGACCAGATAGGAGCTCTATGGCGAGGGGGGAACTGGTTGTTGATGATTTTCAGACATATCTCATTAGGCTGATCGGTGCAGTGGGTTTAGAGGCTGTAGATCGTTTGGCAGTGGTGTGCGAGCCCGGTGGATAACAAGCAAGAAAAAGAAGAATTCCGAGTAGATGGTGGCCCCCCTCTCGCCCGGTCTTGGGCCCATACGTACACGGGTATAAGGGTCATGAGTTTTTTTTTGTGAATAAGAGCATGCTGGAGCTATGTGGTGGGAGTGGGAGTGGTTGTTTACAATTTTTGGAAATATGGCATTGCGGTGGTCCGTACGGTGGGTTTAGAGGGTGTTTATCGTACATGGGGGTTGTGGGAGTGGTTGTTTACAATTTTTGGAAATATGGCATTGGGGTGGTCAGTACAGCGGGTTTAGAGGGTGTTTATTGTACATGGGGGTCGGGGTAGCGGCACGGTGGGCCGTTGTGGATGGGAGATCGACGACCTTTCGCCGCCGTTCATAGATTTTGTAGATGGCCGAGTGGGTGAGGTTGGTGCGGTGATATTGGGCATGGTGATCATAGTGATTGAGGGGCTGGGTTATCGACGCGTGTGTGGCATGAAAGTTGTATTTTTGAGGGTGAGCTGAGATTTGTAAGGGCCGCATGTGATGATTGCGTCGTGACTTTAAAATGAGTGCTTACATGTCAGATTTCAGGGGAAATGTCAGGGAAAATCATGTGGATGGAAAAGGAGTGTTCTTTCTTTGATTTTTTATTATTTTCAAAATTTTCAAACAGATCGTTTTTGCCGTCATCGGATATTGTGTTGTGCTGGCATGGGGATGGACTCTGTGGATCGATTTCTTATGTGC